TTGATCCGATATACAAATCCACCTTGCGATGGTCTTTTTTTCTTTTGGTCGGTCTTTTGGATGGTCTTTGATTCTTTTCACTTTGTCTCTAGTACTAATAGGTAGCTGATATTCGGAAAAATGGATACCCTCGTAGTAACATCTTTATGGGCAGTATCGATATCCACTTACCAGCCACATTGTTTTTCGCTGTAACCAACTGTTAAAGAACAGTTGGTTACAACGAAACACAAAGCGAACAGCATAAAGATGTGAGCCTCACTTGCCCTCACGCAGTACCCACTTTACTGCACTCTAGTGCACCCACCACCACCTCTGCCCCCTACGCCTCCACATCTACCACCGCACCCCTCTCTAAGCCTTCGTTCTCCACCTCCGCTACCTCCGCCTCCACCATAAACTCTGCTCCCTCCGCCTCAACAATAAATTCCGCTCCCTCCGCCGCCACCACCACGCGCCGTCACTATTCTTTCCGCCTCCAACCCAATCTAAGGCTGACTCCGCTCTCACCGTTTCCACTATCTCCGACTTCATCACAAATTCCTCTCCTTTGCCTTCACCACAAACTACGCTGCATTCCCCTCCGCCTCAACCACGTCTCCATTCTCCGCCTCCGTTTTCTGCGCACACACACAAACACGCACTCAGACGAACACACACGCACACACACACACGCACACCTACACACACACACACACACACATACATAAACATACACACACACACACACACACACACACACACTCACATACACACACACAAACACACGCACGCACAAACACACGCACGCACACACTCACATACGCGCGCGCGCTCGCACACAAATACACACACACACACACACACACGCACGCGCGAACGAAAGTACACACACATACACGCACAAGCGCACACACACACACACACACACACACACACACACACACACACCGCGCGCGCGCGCGCACAAAAACGCGCACACACACTCTCACGCATGCATCGGCTCACACACTCGTACGCACACACAAAAGCAAACACACGCTAAACCGCACACACACACACACACACACACGTACGCGCGCGCACACACATACTAACACCGACATACACCTCCACGAATGCACACGCGCGCACAAACACACACACTCACTCTCTCTCTCATACATAACACACACACACACACACACACACACACACACACACACACACACACACACACACACACACACACACGTACTCAAAGAAACGCTACAGTGCACACACGCCACATACACTCACATACACGAGCACGCACAAACTCTCATCAAAACACACACACACACACACACACACACACACACACACACACACACATACTCAAGTGATAAAATAATTTGTAATAAAGTACTATCCATCATCTTCTGATTGATCTATGGCAAATGAACAAAATAATACAAACTCACTCACACGATAGCAAAAACTCGAACAAAGGTCTTTCCAACTTTACAACTTTACAATAAAACCTGCCTAAGTTTGATCCACAAAATCAGCAGATAACGCATTTTCTTACCTTATTACTATAACGAAGTAGCCTACTGGGTTCTCTGTCACACACAGAACGCGACGTTGCCGCTTCGTGTTCGAGTACCTATTCGTCAATTATGGCTCCGGATCCACTTAGTCTAAGTAAATGTCGCATATAAATTAAATATACTCTGGATCTAAAAAATCATATTCAGTATGATTTTTTCGACCGTTGATAGATCAACAATTGTTGGTAAAATCGCTGACGAGTATATTGAAAACCTGTTAGTGTAGGTCTACCGACGTCACACGCGCATCAAGGATGGCTCAGAGTATATCAGTTTTTGCGACGAGGAGCTGAGCAAACACGTCAAATAGGTGGATCAACAATTGTTCTAACTTCTCACTGGATATTTTTTTTGCCCATGAGTGACCCACAGTTTTTTTTTGCGTATTTAGGGATTTTTAATAGGATATGACAAAGGGTCGTCGAAAAGGGCAGAACAAGGCTGTGTCGTACCTATTTTTAGGTGAAATAAATTACAAAAGATGTCGATAGTGTTTTTGAATACTATGTTCAAATTTCTGATGGTACTATCTGTGCTGCTACTGCTGCTGTACATATTCCCAGGTGAAATTAATTATAAAATATGGATGAGATGGACTACACAAGTAAATTTTTTTTACTGATTTCAAAAAGGATGTATTCAATTCGACTGTAATGATTTTTTATGTATCAGCTTCAGGACTTTTTCTGGGTGATCTGCTTTTGATGAATCTTCTTTTTCATTTGAAAGTTGGTGCTTCTCGTGTGGTCCCATATAAATTTGATCAAGATCTGACCTAGTAGTTATACTTAAATAGTTTGTATTTAATTGACTTCGAATCGTATTGGTAGTCGTATTGAAATCGGCTGTACAATTTTAATTTTTATTTTACCACTTGTGTTCAAACTGAACACAAACTGAACCTGACAGTGTCCTGATTAAATAATAATGTATATCATGGACATGGGCAGTGTCATGGTTCGCGTGGTGCGCCCTGCGGGAGGCGTGGGCTGCGTGGGTGCAGGCGGGCGACGCGACGCCGCTGCTGAGCGTCATGGACTCCGACGCGCACGCGCACCTGCTCGAACGCTTCCTTCACACTCTGCGTTTCACAATAGAGGACTGTCCAGGTTGTTTGTTTAGTCATTTACATCTTGGTTTGGATATTATCCCTTGTGCTGATTCATGATCTGGTTTATCCAAAGAAAACTTACATTCAAATTCATTTACTTATTTCGTTACTATTGCAAGTGAAACGTCAACCGTTTTGTAACAGGAAGCGAAGAATACATCCTGCGGTACGTTTGGGAGTGGGCAGTCCACACATACCTCGGCGTGTCCACGTCGCGTGCGTCGCAAGAGAGCCGCGTACAAGTGTCGGCACTGCTGGGCACGCTGAGCGCTCTGGACTGGCCGCGGCAGCAGTGGGTGCACGCCGGCTGCCTGCCGCTCGCCCTGCAGGTAGTCCGCCGTCCGCTGTCCGCTGCTGCATTGTCCCGTTGCTGGGCACGCTGAGTGCTCTGGACTGGCCGCGGCAGCAGTGGGTGCACGCCGGCTGCCTGCCGCTCGCCCTGCAGGTAGTCCGCTGTTGCACTGTCTCGCTGCTGGGCACGCTGAGCGCTCTGGACTGGCCGCAGCAGCAGTGGGTGCACGCTGGTTGCCTGCCGCTCGCCCTGCAGGTAGTCCGCTGTCCGCTGCTGCACTGCCCCGTTGCTGGGCACGCGGAGTGCTCTGGACTGGCCGCAGCCGCAGTGGGTGCACGCTGGTTGCCTGCCGCTTGCCCTGCAGGTAGTCCGCTGTCCGCTGCTGCACTGCCCCGTTGCTGGGCACGCTGAGCGCTCTGGACTGGCCGCAGCAGCAGTGGGTGCACGCTGCTTGCCTGCCGCTCGCCCTGCTGGTAGTCCGCTGTCCGCTGCTGGGCACGCTGAGCGCTCTGGACTGGCCGCAGCAGCAGTGGGGGTGCACGCTGGTTGCCTGCCGCTCGCCCTGCAGGTAGTCTGCTGTCCGCTGTCCGCTGCTGCATTGTCCCGCTGCTAGGCACGCTGAGTGCTCTGGAATACTCAAATGGTTATAAAGCTTCCTTTTAGTTTTTGAAGAGATAAAGAAGCAGAGTAACGAGTACTTGTGCAAAATTAGCAATTAAAATTTTAATAATATTTTTGGGCAAAAACACTGGCAAACAACGATCACGCTACCGGTCGTTTTAGCAGGGGAATTTTTTTTTTCGGAAATGCAAAACGTCTGAGATTTTCTATCGCCTTTCGGCAAATTGTTGTTTCTGTGGGAGTGGCCCATAACCAGGGCTACAGGGATATTTGTAAAAAAATGACTAAATAAATTTTATGTTGTATAATCGGTATTTAATAAAAGTTTAATATTTCAATTTTATTTTTATTGTATGATGCGAGCAGGTGAGCCGGAGCGAGGACAAGGAGCTGACGAGCTGGTGCTGCAGCACGTGGCGCGGCACGGCGGCGACCGCGTGGCTGCGCGGGCTTGCCGACCAGCAGCTGGCGCCGCAGCTCGCCGCGCTGCTCGCGCTCCTGTGCTCCCCGCACCTGCAGCACTCGCAGCAGGTATACTGCACGCCGCATGCGTACTGTAGGCCGCAGGTATACTCTATGTCGTAGGTATACTGCACACCTCTGACTGACTACCTCATTGCTCTAGTGGTTGTAGTAGTGCAACTGCTGATCATGAGGTCCTGGGTTCGAATCCCGGGTCGGGCCAAAAAATTAATTATTGAGTTTTTCTGTCGAGAAATTCTCAGTAGCTGCCAGGGTCAGGAAGTTGGCGATGTCTCAACCCCGTGCCTCGGAAAGCACGTAAATCCGTTAGTCCTGCGCGTGATCTCTCTCTGGTCGTATCGGTTTACCGTCCCATCGCGTTATGAGAGTGAGGGAATATAGAGTGCACCAGTGCTTGCGCATACACTTGGGCACTAAAATCCTGTCCTGCGCTGATGGCTAGCCTCCGTTGAAATTCGGTCTAGAGGACACTACACAGCACACCGTAGGCATACTATACGCCGCACGTTATACTGCACGCCACGCCCTAAGATAAAAGAAACATAAAACATCCAGACATACTGGAGAACATGTCTGAGGTACTGCGATCGGGAATCCAACTAAACTGCGATTAGAGCAACTCGTCTTTCCTTCTTTCTATGGATGAGTTATTGCGAACATTGTGCTCGAAGTTGTGGATGAATATATTTACCTAGGATTACGTTTTTTTTATATAAACTGAAATGGCAAACTAACTTACTGTTCTTCTGATATAAGTGCAGCAACCCATGGACACCTGCTTCCAACTTCAATCAAAGGAGGCCTCAGATGCGTTGTTACATATGAGGTTTTGTATATATATATACGTTAAGGCAACATGGCACCCGACAACCATTGGGGAAAAAGGGTTCTCGAATGGCAGGAATACCGAAGCAATGTGTAGAGTAGTGTCCAGGTCCTCACTCTGAAGAGCGGGCGATTCTATACTAGTACTGTATATACATATATAAATACTACTGTATTGCATGTCTAATCAGATTCTCATGGAGTGAGAATCTGATTAGACATGCAATACAGTAGTATTTATGCAAGAAATTGCTGGATGTGGTGTGAATCGTGTTTTGTGGTTTTCCATGAGGTATGCCTATTATCGACTGCGGTTGTCATCGAAAAGGAAACCTCGACAATTAACGTGCTAGTGAAATTAGATAATCCAAAAAAACATGAATATTCTTCAATAAAGGTCTGTTTTCGTTATAAATAAATATTGAGTATTTTCGCAGACTCTAGAAGAAGCGACGCACTTACCTTGGTGGCGACTGCCTGAGACAGCATTGGATACTGCCATGGAGCAGTTCTTCATCGATCACCATAACCCTGCGCTTCCATACCACGAGGTTCCACAGTTCAGGTGATGTTTATTATAATATTTTATAGTTTACAATAATTTACAATACTACGATAGGTGAGTATGATAGGGGATTGCTATTTAAAAATCGGATTATTATAAATAAGCCTTTATTTATTTCGCAAGGATTTCGTAAATGATCTGCAAGCAAACCGCATGCAAAAGGTCTGTTGATAGAGTTATGACTTCACGCGTCGATGGCACTTACACGGAAGCTTTGCTATCGGTACTGAACAGACAAGAAGTAGAAAGAGTTTTATACTCACCACCGTGAGCAAGGTGGTTTGTTGAACGCGGAGTCGTGACTTTTGTATTAGTAATTATGGAGTGTAGAAGTAAGGAGTACCAACTCCCATAGTAGAATAGTTGAAAAGTGGCCATCTGTAAGCAGTAAATAACAGTTCAAAAACTCTCCACAACAGCGCTGCAGTAGCTACTGGGATGAAATGAACTTATGATGTCGACGGTTTGAAGTGTGCTGCTAAACTGCTCAATAGCTCTAAAATCTAAAATAATTTTATTTAGTAAATATAACCTCAAAAAAGTCGTCTATCCCAATAATACTTTTCGGCACGTTCTTTAAAATTTACCTCGTAGCTATAGTGGCGCCACCCTTATTTAATGGTTTTCTATGGACACTTTTTAATACACAGTCTGTACTCCTTACTTCTACACTCCATATTACTTATGCTGACACGTCTGTCAACGAGGGCTAATAATCTTCCGCTCGCCAGATGTCGCCAGTTGACACTGAGGTGAAGTATTTTTGTTACACAATGTCATTTAATTGATAAGTTAGTTTTAAATAAAAGTTTACCAATTTCTAGAATAATTATATTAATACAGACTATTTTATAATATCTGTGGTTTGGTTTATTTATTTTTAATATGATTAATATAAAATATAACTAATTGTAAGAAAGAAACATTAACCTTTACATTTTTCGAACAAATTAACTTCCCCATTTTGAATTTTGTCAGATATTACATCTCATATCCTCCCTGGTGGCAGTAAAAGTCGTGGACGACTTCATTGGCACTTGAGGCTAATATTTGGCTAAAGATTTAAGTATTACCTTAGACGTGTATTATATATCATATATGTTTAACAGACCTTGTGTGATTACAGACAAGGTCTGTAAAACTGTTGTTTTTAGGGGTTGATGATGATTATTATTAGAATAAGGATTAAGATAATAATCTGATAAAATAAGTGGGAATATGCAACAAATAGTCTACAGAGTATGTTCCTACCCGTGTAAATTAAAATATCTCACAGCCCGTACTATACGGGCTCTCTTACCCTCCAAAATCTAAATGGTTATAAGCAGTGAATACACTGTTGTTAGACTTTTCCTCTGTAAATGAAATTTGTCAAACTCTCTTACCTATTTTTATTGCCTATTAGCAATGCTTGGACTGCTGGTAGTCCAGGTGAAATCAGCCCATGAGTACCGAAAATTATTTCACCTCAATTTTTTATGCGATTCTTTTCAATTTTTATGATATAAATGCATGTTGCCATGGGACAACTCGGTGCCATATTGTTTAAACCGATTTTTTCTTCAATTGAAAGGAGTTGTTATTTTCAAACAAGACATTTTTTTATATTCTTTGAAAAACATACAAGTAAAAAATGCTATGACTTTTTACGATAAAGTAAATATTTGCGGAATTATGAAGTTTTGAAGGTTATTAATTATTGTGCTATTTACTCGTATATATTATATATGATAGATTACGGTTTTTCGAGGTCATTGAAGTTCCTATTCTTATTTGAATTGCCTTGTACATATACTGGATGATTTTTTTTACCGTCTGGAAAAAAATAGGGTGTAGCAGGTGAACGGAGTAGAAGCCTATGGCACTGATATTTTACAAAAAATACAAGCAAGTATTTTGAATTAAATAAATAAATCAATGAAAATCTATCGAAATTTAAATCATATCCATCTTACTTTACGAATGCCAATAAAACAATAAAGGAGGCAATAATTTTTGGGCCAACTAGAAATATTAACGTTATTTAATGGTATTTACACCAAAAAAGACACCAAATTATAATAGTAAATGGCCTATAGATTTTTCACCCGCAGTGACTTATTATATATACAAGTAAATTAGTGAAGTAATATCTATATAGCATCCTCTGAATCTATACGATGCGCCGAGTAAACTCGGTAATATTTATTTTCTGTCGATTATCTAGTTGGACAAATTCACTCGATTCATTCGAGTGAAATAAAACATGGTTGGAGTCGCATCATTATGGTAAGAACAAAATGAAGTTTTTATTTACAAGCATTACTAGACTAATGTTTAAGAAAATATGGATATTATCAATTATCAGGAAGGTTAGCCAAATATTAATTGACACAAGTACGTATGTTTTTCTCTTTTTATTTTTTGTGGTAAAATTCGCAAATAAAACTGTCGAGTTTAGGTTAATTAATATAAGAGTTTATTAATTTACACCTATTCTAGGTTGTGAAAATCTATTAAGTTTGTAGATTTTACCTAAAACAAATATAACAAACAGGTCTTAGAACCTTATTAGTTTGTTAAAAGTGACAAAGTATTAAGTTTATGTTATTAGTAAAATCGATATTAAATAATAAAGAAGTTATTATAATGTTAAAAGAAAATTGAATCTTTGGTTCGAGGGACTTAAAGAGGGTTTTGAAGAGCAATTCATATAACTGCATTTGTGTACAAATAGGTACCTTATGTATTCAGCAAGTTGCTTAATACTAAATGACTTTTTGTTAAGCCAGACACGGATCCTGGTATGATACCAGCCATAGTAGATAGGCAATATAAATGGTACATATATTTATGTGTAAAAAATGTAGTAATTATTTGTACTAGAAGCAAATATAAAGTTTAATAATAATAGTTTGCATAAAAAAGTGTAATGGTTGTGTCTATTATGCTTAGACAGCTGTGTTGTTCACTCTGCAGAAAGGAATATTATTTTGTCACCTAGAATCAGATATACTTAATATAACAATAATATCTTTGTCTCCTATCCTCCTATCCTCACTCCGCCCGCAGGTGATCGCGCAACAACACGTACCTGTTTGGTCTCCGTAGTTAATATTCGCTATTGAGTATAAAGTTAATCTTTAGATTTAAAAAAAAAGTTGTGTTATGTAGTAAAGTGCATGGACTACATAGTTCAAAAACCCAACTGCGAAATTAGTTAAGAAATTACAAGATAATACAGTGTTAATCTATAAGGATCGAAAATATCGAATAAACTGTGAGTGTGTCATAGTGTCCACGAACTAACAGGGCCGTGTAAATGACCGGCCTTGCTACTCATAACCTTCGCGACGACCGTTTTACCAATCCACCGTCATTTCGGCAACTTCCAAAAACCGTCGTATCAGCGATTGCCTTGTGAGTAAATTAAATATACTACTTATTCTAAAAATTTTGTTAGTAAAAACTAAACAAACATTTATAAGTACCTAATAAAATAAAATAAAACAAAAAAGCTTAAACTAAACCATGATACGACGCTCGCCCCCTAATGCTCCGGCATCACCCCACTACACATCTGAACCGAATTTAACATCGTGCCCCAATAATGAAAACCTAAACTTAACGCAAAGGAAAAGAAAACGTGAGTCGGATGAATTAGGACGAATGGAAAAAATGATAATAGATATGAAAACCATGTTTGAGGAGTTCGTGTCGAACCAAACTCAACAAAACAATAAAATAGATACCCTGCAAATGGCAATCGAAGAAATTCGAACTCAAAACGCAAAAAATCGCTATTCAAAACTCAGAAATCCGTACTCAAAACGAAGAAATCCAAAAAAATCATGTCATTTTTGTCTGACAAATATGATGAGGCGGTGCTTGAAATTAATAATTTAAAAGCAGAGTGTAACAAAAATCAGCAGGTTATAAAAACATTAGAAAATAAGGTAGACTTTTTGGAAAAAAAATTGAGAGCAGCATCACTTGAAATAAAAAATTTACCATTACAGTGTCCTGAAACCCGTGAAACCCTAATAAGCACAATCCAAAAACTTGGCAGTAAATCATCCCGTACTAGAACAGGATATTGCAAATATTTTTCGTTTGAAGAGTAAGACGGAATCAGTGGGTACAATTATTGTGGAATTCTCGTCAGCAGCGGCAAAGTAACTATTTTTGAAGTCAACTAAAATCTATAATAAACAGAACAAGGAAAACCGTCTTAACACAACCCACTTACAAGAAAAAGGACCTAAGCACTTCTTATACGTCTCTGAAGTGCTCACCGCCATGACAAAGCGACTCTACTACCTTGCAAGAGAGTTTATTAAGAGTAGTGAATACGAGCAATGTTGGACAGCCAACGGTAAGGTGTACATACGCAAAAAGGAAGGGATGCCCAGCCGACTTATCAAGACAGAAGATGATCTAGCACAACTACGAAGACAAAAGTGACTTGACTGCGTTATTTTATCTTTAGCAATATTGTCCAAATATATTATAGTACTATTCTTGTTACAAGTTTACAGAATTAAATTTAAAAACTATATTAATCACCAACATCATTTCATATACATACAACATTCTACAGAACACACAAATACTACACTAACAAATACATACACACACAACATACAACTAATGTTATTAACTAAGAACACATGTGCTGTGTGCAATACGAGAATATATAAATGCTATAAGCTCTCTTTTTGTACTACTTCTGGCAACCAATTAATTGTCATTATCAATTTAGCTCTATTAAATGTCACATATAAAAATGTAACTAGGAAAAATAAACACCACAATAGTAGATAATATACTAAATAACACGTACAACATAGATTCTGTCTCAGTATCGAATTCATCTACCTTGACTTAGACAGTTGCATCCCACTAAACTTCAACCCTAAGCAATCACTCAAAATACTTAATTAAAATATTAGAAGTATCTCAAAAAATATGATTGGTTTCTATACCACACTCGCTAGGACTAAGGTTGATTGGGACATAAT